TCACCCATAAGGTGAATAGTCATCATATGCAGAATAGAAACATCATAGATATGAAATTTTTAAAGTGTCCCTTTTGCTGTCTTATGCATCCACCATGTATAGGAACCTGATAACCCAAGGAGGAATAGGAGGATTACCTGTCTGTGTATTTTTATCACTTTATCTCTTTTAATTTTTCAGCTTTATTTTTATATTTTATCTTTAAGCTTCAGTTTCTAGTAGCGCACATGAGTAAAATTGCTTATTTAACATGTATTCTGCAACTTTACCTAACTTTGTTCTAGTAGAATTCTTTATAGATTTCTTATATTTTTATACGTAGATGACTATGTTTTTCTTCTATTTCTTCCTTGAAAATAAAGATCTTATTATTTTTTTAATTTCTCTTGCTTATTTTATTCCTCTGGGGCCAGTGACAAAACTGTCTAGGAAGCTACAAGCTTCGATGCCTGTGGAGATAGTTGGAACCACTTGTGGGCACTTGGTGGTCCTGGCTGGCAGGAAGACCAGGTGACATGGCTGTGGGATTCACTGCCTGAGCTGGTCCCATTGACCACCACTGGGGAATAAGGACCACAGCCATTCCTGCACTCTGCTGGCTTCCATACTCCAGGGAAGCGAGAAGCAGGCTAGGTTAAGCCCATTCTCATGCAGTGACCCCACCCACAGCACCATCTGTTGATCAAGCTTAACAATACCAATCAATAAAGGAGAAAAACATACAGACTCCTATTACACAGCAGAGCAAGGAGAGGTCTCCTTGGAGATGAGGGCAAAAATTGATCACTGCTAAAGCCTATCAGTTGTATACTCGGGTTCCAAATGTGTTCTCTATTAACCTTTATTTTTTTCTTCTTGTTTTCTTGAGACAGGGTCTCATGTAGCCCAGGGTGGGCTCAAACTCGCTAAGCAACTGAGGATATCCCAGGATTATTTTTTTCAGTGTTTTTGGCATATGTTAACTATTTCTAATAGCTGATTTCAATATGGCATTTCAGGCATGTGCATTTGTATGTTGGTTATATTCACTACATGTTATTGTCTCTCGCCCACTCCCACTGCTGTTGATCCCTCTTTCTCTTTCCAAATACTCTGTCTTCTACTTCTATGCCTTTGTAGTCTTCAATTCATGATCCTCTTGCTTCTGCTTTTCAATCCTATACAACAACAATTCTATGATTCTAACTTACAAAAGGAAACAATCCAGTAATTTGGTATTCATTAGTGGCTATATTAATTGTGCTGGTTAGCTGCAGTTGTCAACTTCATACACTTGGAAAGAGGGAACCTCAGTTGAGGAATTTCCTTCATCAAATCTGCCTACTCACCGAGTCTTAACTTAATCACATCTGAAAATAACCTTTAATTTTCCCATGTAAAGCAAGCATCTGGGTTCCACAGATTAAAACATGGATATTTTCTGTGGTGTCGGATTTTTTAGCTTACCATTCCCACTTAGACATAAGGTCAAGTACGCATTACTGACTCATGGCTGGAAGAGTTCATCACCCCTTGGGGCTCCACAGAAAGGCTTGTGATCTTGTGCCCATTCTCATTCAGACTTTGTCCTATGCAAATTACTTTGCCTTGTATCTTTTTTCCTGCAATACAATTTAGCCACAATACAACTATATTATGGTCTGTGAATTCAAGAAGATTCTTGAATGGGGACTGGGGTGATCTTGAGGCCTCCCAATACAAGTCTATTTTGACTAATGGATACTGGGGTGATCTTGAGGCCTCCCAATACAATTCTACTTTGACTAATGGATACTGGGGTGATCTTCAGGACTCCCAATACATTGACTACATTGACTAATGGGACAGAATAGCATTCTGAATCCCCAGGAATTAGTGTCACTTCAAAACCAATGTCTATTAATTCTTACACAGTTAGAGCAGTCCCTTATTTGACAATGCACTGTCAGTAACATAGCTTGGGGTCTGCAAGTCCCTTGAAACACCCTTGAAGAGCATAGCCCTGAAGGAGACTGTGGGCCCTGACATTTTCCTAGTTTTTGTTTCCTGGCCATGAAGTGAGTTGATGTGTTGTCTCGCCACAAGCTGAGAGCAATAGGCCAACTGATCTTCAGTGGATGACTAGTGTGGCCTCAGAGTGGGAACTGCAGAGAGCCACCTCAAGATTAACATATGAAAGAAGCCAGTTGATACAAAAGATTGGAATCACTTCCCCACCCTGGCTGTATGAAACAAACAGCATGCAAAAGTTAAGCCTGTGATAGATGAATATATAAATATGGGCCAAGTGGATGCTGTTTAAATGACCTATAAAGGGTTATGAGCCTCATGGCCCAGCACTTTTGAGCACATGTCTTTCCCCAGCTCTATAGACTGCTCCCATTCTCTGAACTACTTTCCCTTTCACAATAAGTTGTCTCTATTTCTATCTTTAATCATGTATTTCTTTGCAATTCTTTGTCCTGAAACAGAAAAGCCATGAAACTTCAGCCAATACCCTCCAAAACCCAAATCCCTGCCTATAAAACTAGACCCTTTTAACTGTAAGCCAAATTAAAGCTTTCCCTTTACAATTATCTTGGGCATTTTGCTGTAATAATGGAAAGCTAACTAGCACAGTCACACTACTAAATGGCTGTGATTTCTTAAAGCAAACATGGAGAAAGGTTTAGGGTCTGTAATCTTGCAGATGCTACAAGATCCTGCCTGAACTCCATCAGCAGGCTCTGTGGATTGAATTAATTGAGTAATTGAGTGCAGGTGTGATTCACTTCTAGTCTCTTCTGTCACAACATTTAGGCAACGCCAGTAGGCACTGTGTTTTTGGAAAATGAGGAGAAAGAGGGTCCCCTAGAAGGTGAACTATATTAGCATCTTAACCTAAGTTACTCCATCTTCCTCAGAATAGCTATTTTAACAGTAACCTCTTTTCGTTTATGGGAAATATTTAAAAAGAGAAAACAGCCTTGGGTTCTAAGAAATAGCTCAATCACAAACCAGTGGCGTGTGCTAATCTCAGACATTCTACATCTGGCTAACTGCTTGCTTTTGCTTCTGTAACTCACTTGCTATTTTAGGTCACCTCAACACAAAGTATAAGACTACCCTGTTATTGTATGACCACCCGGTAACTGCTGATTTCAGCTTTCTTGTTACGGCTAGGAAGTTGACTATTTTAAAATTACAAAGTTGATTGCCAAGTTATATGACTGTATCACTTGTCTGTATAATGACTGGTTGTTGATTAATAGATTCAAAGTTCTGCTATGTTGTGCAAACCTGATTGGTTCACAAGTGTCCTGTTTGAATAATATTTCTGTAATCCTATAAAAACTCTGACCCGACAATGATCAGGGCTGCATCTACTCCTGAGATAGACAGCCCAGCCAGTTGAAATAATAAACATTTACCTTGCTACTTTTGTTATTTCTTAAAGTGGTGCTGGTGTTTTTTTTGTGAATTCTGACCTATAACAGAAGGTTCTTAGTCTCATTCATAATAGAATTTAAGGATGTACCTAAACAGAAGCTTTTCCAATTTTATTAGAATTTTAAGGAAAAATCCTCAGGGCAGGAGAGCTGGTAATCTTGGCAGCTGCCTTGAAGAGGTGAATGGTGGGAAGAAGGAAAGAAAGCCATGAAGCGTGCAGGTTTGTGGGAGATTAGACACTGTGGCTGACTGGCAGCCACATGGCTGGGAGAAGGAAGCTTTAGAGAAAAAGTAAAGAAATGCAAGATGCTACTGGCAGCCCAAAGCCAAAACAAAGCATGTTGAGTAAGAATATGAAAGGCATGAAAAAGAAAAGGGAGCTTACAGTTGACCTACAGGCTACATGGCTGTGGCTGGTCTGGAAGTTCTTCAGAGTTTCGCACTACAATGCAGAATTCCAGGAAGGAAAAGTTCACTATCTCATTAATGCACCAAGTGTTTCACCCAACTATTTAGCGTAACTTAAGGTGAACCTGCCTTCCTAGGGCTGGTTGTATCACCAGGTGATTGACTAATGAAACTGGAAAGTGGGTCTTCCAACAGATAGACTAGGGATTTTATAGTCCTAACCAGTTAAACTTACTGGGCTTTTTGCTGCTCTAAAATTTTATCCACACACTGTTCCCATAGTCAGTCAGCCACAGGCCAGGATCCCTGCAGGCCAAAACATCTTACTACAGATACATCCCCTGAATAAACGAGGTGCTACTAACAGTGGTTAATAGTTAAGTGACCGCCACCAGGTGTTCGGTGCAGTATGCAGCAATTCACATGCTCTATTTTACGCCAAATTCCCACTTATTTCGGTTCATTGCTCTCAGAATAAAGCTTCAAAGTTTTGCTATAGCCTTTTAGGTCCTCAGTGATCTGCACCCCTGCCTACCCGAATCTATTTGTTCAGAATGTTCCAGCCTCACACACCTTGTGGCAACACTTTTGAGCTTACACGGCACAGTTCCTACCTCATGGGTCTCCACATCTAGACCCGTAGTTCCTTGTGTCACCTGTCCTATCACTTTGTGTTTTTCTTTGTTGTACGTTTATGATAATTAACTCTTCATGCTCACTGTGTTGCTTTAATGTTACTCCAGGAGACCATAAGTCCAGCTCAGACAGAGCCCATCTCTGTCTTGTTCCCCTCGTAGAGCAACAAACTACTAAATAATCCTATGTACAATTCTCACGTATCTGGAAGGCAGTAGCACCATTACCCACTGTGTTTCAAATGCAACGCAAAGCTTAGAATACCACATTAATTTATTCCAGGTCTGTTAAGCCACGTAGGGTGCTCAGTCTGTGGCTGCTGAAGGCAGAGTAAAGGGGGCATCACTGCTACCGTCACAAAGCAGACGTTTTGTCAATGCTCTTGAACTCGGATGCCTGCAGTAGGACCGGCAGACATTGAACACGCACCGCCCAATCCACTAAGCAGCTTCCCATCTGCGCAGGCGCATGCCGGTCGCTTCCGCCTTGGGCGGGGCCTCCGCAGGGGCGTGGCCAGAACGGGGCGTGATCTGCTGGTTGCTGCGGCTTCAGCGCCGGTAGCCGGCGCTGGGATGGCGCTGGCGGGTCGCGGGGCTCGGGGGTGGGGGCAGGGGCTGGCCTCTGCGACCCCGGAGCCTCGGCTGGAGCCCGGGACAGCGACTGCTGCGGGCTCCCGTGCAGTCTGCGGCCGCCGCTTCCTGCTCTGTCTCTACCTGGTAGGCTTCTTGGTGAGTCTGGACGCCGGGGCAGGGGCGTAGTCCAGACTTGGTCCAGGACTTGGGATCCAGGAAGGACCACGTTTTCCTCCAGCTTCTGGGGATTTATAAAGCACAACCAGGGCCGGGAACCTGAGATCTGCAGTCAGAACCAGCCCCCTCCAGCTCTCAAGCCTCTTCTTGCCCTATCACCCCATAAACTCTTAGACCACTGACCTCAGGTGTGGTTTCCTGACCTAGCTATGCTGGAGGCGGGAGATGACCCTGGATGTTATTTGTAGTGGCAGGTGCAGGGTGGAGAACAGAGGTTGCTGGTGGCAGCTGGTACAGTAGTAAGCAGGCCTTTCCCCAGAGCAGGGTTCTGCGGAGCCCCTGCTGATGACCCCATCTGCACAGAATGAGAAGCATTTTTATCAGGTTTCTGGAGGACTGGTGTGAAAATGGAGGTACACAACTACCTTTTGACAAACTGGCACGGGATTTTGCTTCATTATAATTTATGTGCATGTGTGTCCTGGCTTGGTACGGAAGTAGTCATTTCCCACCTAGAATGAAAAGCTTAGAAATCAAGTGTGTGGCCAGGAAGTCCTTCCTCCATCCATCCACCCCTTAATTTAACATTCATGGAATTTCTGAAGGCATGTATGTGGTAGTGCTGTGGATCTCCAGTATTGTAATAGGAAGTTTCTGCTGCCAAATAACTTACCACCTTGCTGGTAAGCTTAAATTGATATTCCTGGACCACCATGAGTGCCAAAGCCCTGATGCACTCTCATTTCTCTTGTGGTTCAGTAGCCCTAGTTAGAAGTTAGTCAAGGCACAAGGACCCAGTTAGTTGAAGGGTCTGTGGGAGAAGACTTTGTAGATGGTGTCTGATCAGCCATTGGCAAAACAGAGTTATGTTCTGCACAGATGAAATAAGCCTACTGTTTCTTCCCAGACTGGTGGTCACTAGAATCAGGAGTTAGGATTGCCACACCATGTAGGAGACCAGTGAGAAGCCACCTCTTTTCTCTTTCCAAAGAGCCCAACAGTTAGTGGAGGCTTTGTTAAATTTGTATGTTAGAGTCATGCAGAAAGTATATTTCACCAAATGTCTGTTCTCACAGAGCCGGAAGACATTGGAGAGCCCATCTTAGAGATACTCCTGCCTTCCGTGTACTTTTGCTACACCCTGCCCCTCCTTAGGTTCCAGGCCTTTGACTTTAGAGTCGAACACTCCTCCTCCTATTCTCCTTCACTGTTTTTCTCTGTTGAGTCTTGAAATGCACAGCACACACTGCTTCCATTTTGCAGTCTCATTACCCAGAATTCGAAGATGGTGAGTGTGGGTTTTTCTGGGAAAGGATGTTGACTACCATCCACCATCTAGTAGGAGATGCTTTTGTTTCATACTACTGAGGCTCTGCCTCGGAAGGCACTTGGACTACTTGTGTAAGACAGATTAAAAAAAAGAAAAAAATATCTGAGCCCTCACCTGGAATGTCCAGACTTCATCCAGAGGGCCTCAGAAACTAACATGAGTTAGAATTCCAAATAGTTTGAGTGTTACCACAAAATAAGGCAGTTTGCACATCCTTCATTATGCTCAGCCTTCTAACACAGAGTTGCATGTTCACAGCCTGGCTTATGCTTTCCATATGCTGTGCACATGGCAAATCTAGTCTCACAAATTTGATGTAAATTTTGGAGAAATTTAATAATATATTCAAGGGAATAATGTTTTTAAGTGCATTGTTTAAAGGAAATACATAAGGTTTCCAAAAAGTTGGAAAAGAGTAGGCATTTTTTTCAGTGGTAAATGTAAGTTGTTTTGTGTATGCAGCTGTGTGAATCTTTGAAGGTTCTAATTAGCCTGTTTACTAAGTAACATCTAAGGAAATTTATTCACAACTTAGTTCTTGTTTTGATGTATTTAGAGATGGGAAGACCACAAAGACTTGGGAAAATAGTTTCCCATTGGAAGAGGAAAGGCACAGAATTAGAGAAGTCACTTGTTAAATATTCTAGTTTTAACCTTTCACAGTACTTTGAGGTTTTAATTTGTTTCACAGGAAATACTAAAATTATTCATTTTGCCCATTTTGGTTAGCGTGCTAAGATGGTACCACACTCTATGATTTCAGTCCCTACTTTTCTACAGACACCTGCTCAATTTCTGTTCCCTCTCACCAGCTTTCAGCAGGTGACAGTTCATCCTTATTGAGATAACACACCAGCTGACGAACACTGGTTCATTCCCTGAAGAGAGCCTGGAAGTTGAGTGGATGCATCTCTTTCCACTGGGAGGCACTGATGCATAGGCAAAGGTTCAGTGACCCCACCAGAGGGACTGACTTCCTTATAAATGGCTAAAAACACATGGCCAACTGCCAAGTGTGATGTGTCCTAAAAAACAGTGGGTTTGTAGAAAGTATGGATTCAGAAGGAATTGTGTGTTATAGTAAAGAAGATATTTTAGAATAGAACTTCCTGTGAGGAAACAGCCAGCAGCCAGCCTTCAAGATAAAGGTAGTATTTGTTTTAGACTCACAAAGTGCTAAAATATGTCTTCAGATATCCCTTATGAGCCCATATCTTCATATTTACCTTCCATAGCTTAATATACTGGTGTCAGTATTTCCCTCCCGTGATTTGATAATTATTGGGGTTTCTTTTATGGAAAAAAAAAATTCTTGCTGGAATCTTTAAGTGCTTTAAACATTAGGCAGTTGATGATACAGAACTGACATAAAGCCCAAAAGACATTGGCTCAGACCCTTGAAGTGCATTTTAAGTAATCTTAAAATGGAAATAATAAACCATAGCTCTCGAACTGTCAATGTAAAATGTATTCAGGAGCACCTGATATTAGATGTGTGGCCACCTGAGGCTGTAACCATGGAAAAGGACCACGAGATATGTAAAAGTGCATATTTCTCTAATTAGTGAACCCACATCTACCTATCAGGGAGGGCAGAGCAAAATATTTCTTTGAATTTAGCCACATTGATAGGCTGGACTAGAAAGAGAATCATATGTGTGCAGTATGTGTTTCTTCTCCTAAATTATTTTTTTAAATATTATTTTTATTTTATGTGTAGGAATGTATTGTTTGCATGTAGGTAGGTGCATCCGTGTCATGCAGTGCCCGTGGAGGTCAGGAGAGGACATCGGATCCCCTGGAACTGGAGTTACGGACAGTTGTTAGCTGCCATGTACATGCTGGGAATTGAACCTGGGTCCTCTGCAAGAGCAGTCAGTGCTTTTAACCACTGAGCCATCTCTCCAGCCCCTGTCCCTAAATTATTTTAGGAGGTAATCAAAAGAATTGAGAATGGCAGTGAAACTGAACAGGAATATTAATGGTCTTGCCATTAGATTACCAGACAAAGGATCTGCTTAGCAACTGATTTGAGAGGCCATGATTCTTGGGCTTCTATGTGTGTCAGCCTCACTCAACCCACATGGCACTTAATGCTCACATAGTCCTATCAGGCACGTGTTCTTCGACCCTTCTTTACAGATGGCCACACTGGGGCCTGACCTGGTAACATTAAATACAGTTCCAAGAGCACACATTTAATAAGTGACAGCTGAAGTTGGGAACTCTCTGACCCTGCAAGCACATGTAGTTCCTGTGACTTACCTGCAGAACACTGGCCCCGCTCCATCTGCTTTTCCTCTTTCTACTGCTTTCCCCAGGCTTTCTTCTCAGGTATTACCTTGTAACAGATTCTAAAGTCTGGCATGCTAGATCAGGCCTGTAGTCCTAGCTCTTAGTAGGCAAGACAAGAGCAGTGCAAATTCAAGGCTAGCCTGGTCTAGCCTAGTTCTGATCTGTGAGCTCATTTCTGTAACTCCAGAAGGAAATTTTATTTAAGCAGATACTGCTTTGCCAATAATCATGGCCTATCCTGGCCCCTTCAGTATTCACAGAACACTGGGGGGTTTTCAGTTTGTCCATGTTTTTATTTCAGGTAAGGAACTTACATTGCACATCTTCTCAGATGTTAAAGGGCAGTCACAAAGAGACTGAAATCAAAACTGATCCCAGGTCAGGCCAGCCCAGGCAGACTGGCAGCTGTTATTGCATGCCTTATCTGGATTCCTTTATAACTTTTAACCTGATTAGTATGGCCTACTCTGAAATACAATTATGCTTTTTTTTATTTGCTCAGAAGTTTAGATAGGGTTTTTGGGTTTGAAATGTGTTTATAATTTTAGGATCACGACTTTAAATATTGCCAGGCTTCAGTTACTAACATGAGTCAACCAGGCTTTGTTTTCTCATAGGATTTGTTTGGTGTCAGCATGGTTGTCCCTTTGTTGAACCTTCATGTTAAGTCCCTTGGAGCAAGTCCCATAGTTGCTGGAGTAGTCGGTGAGTGGTTCATACTGCTTATTTGTAGAACACTGAATTTTTAAATCCCCTGAATTCATTATCTGAAAATAACTGAATCTTTAACCAATATCACCCAAATAAGAAGTGAGATAAAATGTATTTCCAGAGTATTTTCAAATTCTTTCTGAGACTACTTGTATTAAGGAAGGCTTTGAAATTTGAGCTATTCCCACATACCATACACATCCCAGTACTTACTGAGCCTCAGCAAGTTGCTGGCTATACATATGAAAGGGTAGATTTGGCTGCCCCGCCACAGGAACCTGTCACTTAATGAGAGAGACCAGAGGATAATCTGTGAAGTCACACCTGATTGGAAAGGGTTTGGGTGACCACTTTGATAAACTAGTTGCAAGATTTCACACTACACCACCAACACATCTTAGAAGACTTGAGGTTTCTTTGCCTGTACAATGTGAAATTACACTCAGAATTCATTGATCTGTGAAAGAAGCAGGAGTGATCAGGGCTTCCAACCTTGCTAAGTAATAAGAAATCCTTAACACTGACAGCCCTTGATCCTCCACAAGATGGACAAGAAATTACTGTGGGGCACATTTCGCTTTCCGTTGTTAAATCCTAGTCTGTGCTTCAAGAAATGTATATTGAATTCTGCTGGGCACACAGTAGCATGAAGACTTGTGGAAAAAGCAAAGGGGATATGTTACATGGAGGTGAAGGAATGCTGTAAAACTCTGTAAGCTTGTTACATAATTAAAGGTTTCTTCTTTAAATTTTGCTCTTTTCTCATCCTTTGTTATTGTTGTTAGCATGTATCACTTGTTCAGTGTTTCATTATGGCATTTCCATTCATGAATAGAATTAATGATCCTTCACTCACCCCTATAAAATGTTGGGATGTGTAAATCAGTCTTAAAATTTTATGAGATGGCTCAGATGTTAAGAGCATGGCAGCTCCTGAAGAGGACCCAGGTTCAGTCCTCAGCATCCATGTAGCAGCTCAGAACCAGCTATAACTTCAGTTCTAGGGGATCTGACACCCTCTTCTGGCATATGTAAGCACTGCACACACATGGTGCACATACATACATACAGAAAAAACACTCGTACACATAAAAATTAAAATAAAAAAATTTCGTAGTCAGAGGAGTTTTTATAGGAGTCCAGTTTTACTCTCTGAATTCCCACTGTATACTTTTATAGACTGGAGCAACACAGTTTTCACATAGGAAATACTTTTTCATAGTCCCTAAGGTTGACCCTTCTCGTTCTTTTGCTATTCTCAGTTTTATTTTGAAGGCTTTAAAAAAACTTGAGAAAAAAATGTGCAGCAATTTAACTTACTGAAAATGATATTTTCCCATTCTACTTTTTTCCTAATTTCTATGTAATTGTTACCTCATTTATTCCAGATCTAGCTGATTTTATTAATTACTGATATTTTGGGTTTTTTTGGACAGGTTCTTCCTATGGCATTTTGCAGCTTTTTTCCAGCACATTTGTGGTAAGTTTTCTTCCATAAGGCAACATTTCTCTAGGACGTAGTCAGAAGCAGCTGGAATCACCCACCATGGCTGTGATAAGGACCTGAGGATTAACCGAAAAGCAAGTCTGCAGATTAGAAAGCACAGTTTTGTGGGATAGAGACCAGGTAGAATCCTGTCTTCTGTTCTTCCTTGTTTGGCCCATGGAAAGACATGGGCTTCAAAGACTGAGAGGAATGCAACACCAGTACCACCAGAGAACTGTTCAGTTTTAACCTGCTCTTCCTGTGATCCACTCCTAACTGTACCAAGAAAAGCACATAAACAGAAATTAGTGCAATTCATTTGTTTCACTTAATGAACAAGAAGCAAATCTATTTACATTTCTAGGATTCTGTTCAGAAATGTACATGTTGATCTAATGGCTCATTGTTTATAAGCCCAGGACTGGCAGAAGCCATTTTGATTGATTCGTTGAATATTGGGAAAATGGAGTAGAAAGATCCAGAGGTGATGTTTTCACTCTCTCCTTCTGGCCACTCAGTAGTCTGAAGTTCGGAGTCTTTCGCTGGTCATCCCTTCACCCCGCTGTGCAGCCTGCCATGGCCACTCCATGGTCTGGAGACCTCAGTGTCTAATGATCAAGCAGTCAATAGAATAGTCACCTGTTTAGTCTCAGGATTGATACCAGGAGATGATTAAAGCAGCTGGCCTGGCTGGCATCTCACATTTAGTGAACTCATGTTTCTCTGGAGTTACTTCCTTGTTAAGATAGCTATGTTTTAAGGATTGATTTTTATTCATGTGTATCTGTCTATGTCTGTCTGAGTGTCTGCCATGAATATACAGGTGCCCATGGAGGCCAAAAGAGGGCATCAGATCCCCTGGAGCTGGAGTTAAAAGCCTTATGAGCCACCCAGTATAGATTCTGGGTCCTCTGCAAGAGCATGCTCTCTTAACTGCTGAGCCATCTCTCCAGCCCAGGACATATATTTAAAAGGAATTGAATGAGATTCTACAGTAAACTATTAAATAAGTAAACAGTTACTCCATGATTTCTCATTCCCTGAAGTTGTTAAGAAGTTGCCTATCATTCAGTTTTGTTCTCATTTAAACTTTGTAATAATCCTTTTAGTATCTCCTTTTTAAAATAGCTGTAAATTAAGACTCATGGAGTTTAAGTATGTTGACTAAGTCATCTACTCTTGGTAGTCAGAATGAACCTTTTTTTTTTTCCAAGAGTCATCAGTCATTGCTTTGATGGTATAAGAAAGTAACTCAAGGGGCTGAGAGGTAGCTCAGCATTGGAGTGAGTGCTTAGCATGTACAGGAGCCTGTCTGAGTTGCATCCTCTGCTCTCTCCTGACCCCAAATAAAGAAATAAAAGGATACCTTTATGTATATGAGTGTATTTCCTGCATGTGCAGCTGTGATGGGCAGTGCTGGAGGAAGTCAGAAGAAGGTGTTGGATCCCATGGAACTGGAGTTACAGTTGTTAGCCATCATGTGGGTGCTGAGAACTGAACTCAGGTCCTCTGCTGAGGTTCTTTTAACTGCTGAGCCATCTCTCCAGCCCCATGTTTCATACTCTTTTGATAAAAGGAAGTGAGCAATCTTACAGATACCTTTTCATTTGAAAACTCGTCCCCCAAGTCTCCATGTGTGTCTGTACCTCAGCCTCAGTGCAGAGGCAGTAGTGCGTTCCAGTCATACACATTGCTCTCCACCTTCCTGATGGACTCTGGCCTGGAGATGAAGATCAGCGGTGGTTAATCAATTGATTTTTCTCTATAGTACTTATCAGAGTATCTGGCACAGAACCAGCATTTATGAACGTGAACCTTCATTGCCAGCTCTGACTGGACCTGAATTTCTGTATTGACCCTTCCTTGTGGGTCTTTATTAACAAAGTACATCTCATATACCTTATGGCTGCAATGTAATGAAAACCTTCCTTAGAAGTTTTTCAGAGACAGATGCCTCATTCAAATTTCCCTTTTAACTATTACTTTTATTAGTACGTACTTTACACATCTTTTAAAAATATTTTAAGAATAGATCTTTACAAAGAAAAGGTATTTTGCCAGATTTGCTTAATTTTTCTAATATTTTGTCTATTATTTTTATTTTATGTGTATGAATATATTGTCTGCAGTAAGTGCACATGTGTAGTGCATTCCCTACAGAGGTCAGAAGAGGGCATCAGATTCCCCTGGAACTGTAGTTACAGATGGATGTTAGCTGCCATTAGGGTGCTGGGAATTGAACCCAGGCCTCTGCAAGAGCAACCAGTGCTCTTTAATTGCTAAGCCATCTCTCCAGTCCCCACAATTTTTTAATGTATGTGTTTTCATTAAAATGACTAGCATTTATTAAGTGCTCAGTGTATGTCAGACTGTGTTTAGAGCACTTTAACCCTCATAAGCCATCCTCAGAGCATAGCTGTAGGTCTTTACAAAGGTTATCCAGGGGTTGGACAATGCTAGGGACTCTACCTGACATTCCTCAGACAGCACTCATGTTATACTAAATACAGAAGTGATGAGGGAGAACATAAACTCTGAGGTAGATGTTACAGGTGGAGAAATTGAGGCTTAGAGAGGCTAGCCTGCTTGTCTGAAATCGTGGTATATGGAGTGATAAGTGTTCAGAGCTCAACCAGACAGCCCAGCCCAGAACCTGGACATAACGACCAGATTATTCCACTGCCCAGGGCACAGGAGGCCAGTGACCCCATACTCAGTAGGATGTATGAGGAATCTCTGGGACTCATTGAAATGAAGATTGTGGAAAGGGGTTGATAACATTTGTAGGATGAGTGTATTTTGGAGGATTTACCCTCAGAATGTTTTACAGAGAGATATGAGGAATTTAATAACAGTTTATGTCTCTATTTAATTGGGAATTTGGAGTTCTTTAGAAGGTAAACACATCAATAACAATTGGGAAAGATCTTGAACAGGTATGATTGACTTTGCAAAGGAAGAGAGGCAGGCTGAGGTTCCATGGGTAAGGAGGGTGGGCAGTATGGCTCTTCACTGGGTCCTGAGGGCAGCAGGAAGCGTGTGAGTCATCTCCCAGTGAGGACTGAGAGAGAACAGGGCACTCCTCAGGAGCCAAAGTCATGGGGGTGCTGTGACAGTGTTTAGCAAGTTTAACGTGAGGCACATACAGTCTCTTCAAACAAAGCCTCACTCTGAACCTCAGTCTACACAATAGTTCATCATGAAGGTGCTCTGCTGTATTGCAAATATTGGTCATGCTGGTTTGTGTGTGTGCCAGTAATGGTGCTCTTTCCAAGTGTAAAGAGAAAAGATGAAGCTTGCTGCTGTGGCTGCTCACGTGCCTGAGCTGCCACCCGAAGGCCAGCCTGATGTTCTTACGCTTTCATTCTCACATGGATGCCCTGGCCCATGCGCATGTTCTAAAGAGGAAGAAGAGCGGGAGGAGAACAGACGGCAGACTTAACCATATCCACTGCTAAAGAACTTTCTTAGAAGCCTCAGCCAGTGACTTCCAGTGTGCACAGACCAGAAGTCTTTCAGCCTCTAAGCAGGCTCCTGCTGAGGTTGGCTGTGAGGGATGGAGAGCAATTAGAAAGCTGGCCTGGACCCTGCCCTCCACTGCAGGACATCACCATGCATTGCTGAGCCTGTTTCTTCCACTGGCCTCTGGGTGTGCACTTCTCCATCTTGTACCTCTCAGCATCTGCCTCCACTGAGTTCTGTTCTCATTCCATCTGCAGAGGCTCTGCAAGCTTCAGCTGACCACCACGAAGCACACTGTTCCCCATAGGACAAGCTTCATCCTGCATGCTGTGGTCTCACAAGTATCCTGGCCTTCCTGATGACACTGAAGGGAAACTGCCCAGAGGGACTCTGAGGCCTCCTTGATATAAGAACTGTCACTGGCAGATGTGCTGTGTTGCTTGCTTCTCTCCAGAGAAAACACAACACACACACACACACACACACACACACACAGAGTCTCATTAGGAAGAAAATCAGCATGAAAGAAGACACACTGAACAAACTGGTAGATGTTTTTTCATTGAAAATAATCAGTATTGGTTTGAAAATGGGAAAACCCTATCCCCCATTATACTGATGTGTGAGTAAAGGTCTTTCAGAAAGTAATTCTTCTGTATATGTCAAATGCTCCAAAATACACCTGCCTTTTTACAGTGTTAGTGCTGGCACTGTATTCTAAAGACTTCTGAAGGAGGTTTGCAAAGAGCCTGCTGTGAAGATGCTCGTAGCATTACAGACATTAAAGTACCGTTTCTCTCAGATGGAGAAAAAAAACAAAAACAGGTCAACCCAAATGGAGATTTATAGAGTAACACTGGCACATATGGAATGTGGAATGTAATTAAATAATGGTAGCAAATAGTAGCCAGTTTGTAATGGCATGCAGTGGTGCCCAGACCATATTGTTAAGTAACTAATAATGATGTAGGACCGTTTTCTTCAAAATATATAATGTACAGGTTTGGGGTCAGGAGGGGTTGTTTCTGTTCACTTTGTTTCTCAGTATTTTCTAAACACCCTAGTTTCTGAGGAATGTAGCTGTCTAAAATGAGAATGAAGACAAAGGCAGGTTTCGACGTTTAACCTTGTGTTCCATCTTATCTCCAGCTAATTTCTTAGCTACTATATCATCAGGCATTGCTTCTGAGATAAAGATACTTATTTTTGCCCCACTCACCTCACCTCATGGGGAGGTTAGAGAAGATAATGTATGTGGCAGCCACATCCTGATGCCCTGGTATTTCCACGGTGTCATATTGAATTGGCATCAGTGAACTGCATGGTGCTGGTAGTTATTGGAGATCTCTGCTTCTTGTTCCTCTCAGGGCTGCTGGAGTGATGTGGTTGGAAGACGGTCCTCCTTGCTGGTGTGCATTCTGTTCAGTGCCCTGGGCTATCTCCTTCTTGGAGTGTCTACCAATGTGTTTCTGTTTATACTGGCTAGGATCCCTGTGGGTGAGTCCTACCTTCTGAGAATGTGTTTTCATTCAAAATGAATATGTATCTCTATACACAAGCCTGAGCCTGCTTGATATTGCATCTTCGATTAGAGCTTTCCTGCAGGGAAGTAATGACACCAGTAATGCTAGCAATAACCATTGTACCAGCATCTTCTGCTTACTGAGTACTTAACATTGGCAGACCCTCTGGTAACTTATCAAAGTTACCATCTTTATGTGTGGTACAGCTCCTCAGAGGCTCATTGAGTAAATTACTATGCTACAGCACCTAACCTGTCTCCTGCCTACTGACCAACAACACCTCTACGTTCAGACAAGAACAGGTATCATGTCCTTGGCCAGCACTCTGATTTAATCTGAGACTTTGCTATCTGCCAGCCCTCTGGAAATCCAACTGCTGACTGCAGAGGGGGGCTGCATCACTATGTAAGAGACTCCGGAGTTGCTCTCCTGTTTACATTTTGACAATTTCTTTTTGTCTCCCCAAAGAACTGTTTTATTTACATATTCATACAGTTTATGCAGGATTTCATCCTTCATACCCTCATTTGCATGGTACTTCACGGAAAATTGAAGTTACTTGATAGCAAATATGATATCTACAATTGTGGAAAAGAGTCAGAATGACTTTAGATGCCATACATCATCACTGGCATGTTCTTTAGTGGAGCTACAAGCTTTGAGAAAAGGCTTTCTAGTGAGAGTGCTTAGGACGCTTACCAGTGGCACTGTGAACAGCAATATGATAATGTATAGTCATCTGACCTCTTCATCAAATATTTCATCCATTCTTGAAAACGGCACCTTTGGTGGCTGGAGGGTGGACATCTGCTGTGGAAACTCTCCTCGCCTTTCTTAGCATCCAGATCCCTATACTTCACCATTTTTCTTTCCTTACCTAGGAGAGCATGGACAGATTTTGCTACCCTGGTCACAAGTCTGCCACACTGAACCTCTAACCCACACTCACTTAAGCTATCTGTTCTAAGTTAACCCCAGAGGAAAGAGCTCTGCCATTTATGTTCTGCCATTTAACATACATGTGATGATCAACTCATTTGAAAATCTCACAGCATTTCTTTGACACCTATGTAGACCATGAAAGATACTGAATTCATACTTCCAAACTCATACTGTGGTTTTGTTATTGACTTTAAAAAGTGCTTTAGGTTTAGAAGGTCTTTTCTTAAACCTGGTCAGCAGTACTAACCTCACTACTGCATACAAATGGCAATTAATAGCTATGCCATTTGCATCTGTTTATGTTATTGGTTTCATTGGTAGTGTGTGTCTCTACCATACCACACTACACCCCACCGTTCGGTGCTATGTGCTATGTCTAATGCTGTAGAAATTAGTGAGGAAGCCAAGTGAGAAGGTAGATTTATTACAAAATGTGTAGAGATTTACAGGGAATATTAAACTGTTTTCATTTAATATAAAATTGCCTGTTTCAGTTGGTGGTACTTCTTTATAGACATCATGCTCTTTGCAAACAAGAAGAGCTATACGTGAAGATTCCTTCTTGCGTACACAACCTCCACAGTGTTTGTGGATCGGGAACAAGAGCGAACCCCAGGGAGCTTTGCCCAGGGTTCTCTTTAGCAAAGTCAGTTGTGGAGTCAGATCCTCGTGTCCTGAAAATGATCCGACTTGTAATGTGCTTACCCTGGACACCTGGTTTTCAGTTCCCAACCTCTAAGAAACCGGACTCTTCCCCTGGGTTTTTCCCAGTATATTCTTGCCACAGTCTTCTTCCCTTATAAGGTAAACCAAACATGGATATAATTTCCAAAGGAATACGCATAGCTCCTGTAAGATTTCTTGAGAATCTCCCCCCGCCCCACCAAACCCTTCCCCTTCTTTCAGGAAATGAGTCTGGAAAGGGTCTGGCTAATCCTGAAAGGGATTTGTAAATTCACTAAAAAAAAAAAAAAAGCTATCCAGCAACTGAACAACACACTCTGCTTTTGAGACAGAGCTTGGAGTAGACTCAAGAGGCATGAGTTGACGTGCATGGCAGCACAGGGCTGGACAAGCAAGAGGCCACTGTATCAGGTCACAGCTCGGAGTAAAGCACGCTGACCTGCCAGCAGCACCTAGGACTGATTTCTTATAATGTGTTGACCAAAGTGGCTGGCAGCCCTATCCAGGATCCATCAGTATGTTCATAAGCACACCCCACATGAATGTCAAATACTTCTGCAGGAGCATAAATCATGCTGAAGCCCTTGGGTACTTGGGCAAATAAATTCTCAAGTCTCTTACTAGTAGGAATCAGTCAGCATTCTCTAGTGAAGATGCCATGTATTTCCATTCATGCTTTATCCCCTCCTGCGTCTGCCCATAGCCCATCTTACCTTCTCATTCATGCTGTTTACCTCCCAAGAAGAGTCAGGTTCCCTGGGGGTGGAGTTAGCTGTTCCCTTTTGGTTTTTGCTTTAATGGCCATAGCTCATTGCTTTATCCCAGGTCAGGATCAAGGCTGGGCCTAGGGTAGTCAAGTAGTCATGTCTGTCCAGTGAGCAAGTGGATAAAGCATGGAAACTGGGGAAGCCACCAGGAATTTCAGATAGATGACAGAGGACAGGAGAAGCTGGGTGTCATAGCAAGAGATGGGAAAGCTGAAGGCTCAGGCACTTGGTTCTAGAGATGAAGTGAACTGCTCTGGTTATCTATGATGGGCTAAAACCTGCAAGCGTCAGGGGTTCAAAGCAAATGGAGGACAGAAGTCAGTAGGCATGGCGATGAAGAGCAGGCTCAGAAGGGAGCTCCTCCTCCAGTGTGGAGACAGTCACAGAGCATGTTTCTTCTGCCCTTGCAGGTATTTTTAAACACACCCTCTCCATCTCCAGGGCTCTGCTTTCTGACTTGGTCGCAGAGAAGGAACGGCCACAGGTGCTGGGACAGTTCAATACTGCCTCTGGTGTAGGTTTCATCCTGGGCCCCATGGTTGGTGGATATCTCACAGAACTGGATGGTGGATTCTATCTGACAGCCCTCATCTGCTGCTCTGTCTTCCTTCTCAATGCTGGTAAGTCGACTGTTGATCATGTATTCTCAAGCTCACCAATTGATGGGTGAGCCTCTTGCAATTGATTATGGTTTTTTTGTTTGTTTGTTTGTTTGTTTGTACATGTGTCTTTAATCTCTATGTATCTGATATTAAGTAATAATCAAACAAGAAGTTTAGGTAACACAGATGAAGCCAGCATAGATAAGTGACAGTAGAATATAAATGTTCAAAATATGTGTTGTTGAACTTAATACAAATATTCAATGCTTGTGACTACAGCATTCTTTGAAATGTAAAACACCCTTGTAACTCAACACAATATAGATATGTGAAATATTCTTTAGCAATGGTTCCAACACACAGGGTTTTTTTTGTTTTTAGAAGAAGCATTTCATTACAGCTTTAACATACTCATTAACAGTTTCCAGAGCAAAGGTACATCTCTTTCAAAAGTGACTGTAAATAGTTTCTAGGTTCACAGTTGAATTAATACAGTTGTACAATATTGAACTCAGTATAAACCGTATAAGACATAAAATTGAATGAGGTTTTAGCCATTAAAAAAGATCTCTGTTACATTTTAAAATATACTGTTTCTTACAGAACGACTCACTGTTTTTGCTGCTAACACTGAGATGTTGGCACATGCATCTCTAATCTGTATGTATCTGATTATTACTAGTCATAATCAGTTGCTTATGTTTTTATAGATTAGGCAGACTCATTGCTCAAGAATGAAAGTTACTTTGCAGAATTCTCCACTACTCTTCATAGTGACTGTACCAATTCTTATCCCCACCACTGTATGCAAGGGTTCCCTTTCCTCTGCATCCTCGCTGTCATTTTCCTGTTATTATTTTAATAACCCTTCTGTGGTTTTGATTTGAACATCCCTGTTTGTTGGGATGTTGGGCACTATTTCCTTTTCTGGGGAATCTAAATAGTGTTTATTCCCTCTTTCTAAGGTCCCAGCAACAAACCAAAGTACAATTCCACCAAAGTTCAACCAGTGAGTTTATTGGGCTTACTTACAGAGCATGAAGGAGAGGTGACTAGCAATAGTGTGGGCAACCAGCCCTAAGGACTAGGAAGGCATTACCCAGCTTGAATGATGGCATCCCCATAGCTACCCAGGTGGAGCCCCTCTTAATTAACCTCCTCCAGCCTATATATGCTCGCACTACCTGGAGAGCCCAAGGCTATGTGCAGTAGGCAGAATTGATACCAATGGCTAGGCTCTCAGTTGAGTCCAATGTCCTGCCTTATCCCCTCCTTCAGTGATGGAATGCCAACAGTCAGCAGACCTAACAGTGATGGACCCATGCAAGTAGACACAATGGACCTGATGCAGATGGCAGCAGTATTCTTTAGAAAACAGTGTTGTACAGCTCACAACTTGGCATTTCCAGCGATAGTGCTCTTTGATGTTTTGCCTTAAGTCTGTGGGTAGATGTGGGTCCATTAGGAACCTGTTCAGGTGTTCTCAAATACAATGTCTCAAAGTAATAGAGATTTTTTTTCCCATTTAAGAAATGGGGGGCGGGCTGGAGAGATGGCTCAGTGGTTAAGAGCACAGGCTGTTCTTGCAGAAGACCGGGGTTCGAATCCCAGCACCCACATGACATGTAACAACTGTCTGTAACTCCAGTTCCATGGGATCCGACAGCCTCTCTCTCCTCCACAGGCATTGCATGACATGGGTGCACTTACCTACATGTAGGCAATACATGCATACACATAAAATAAAAAAATAAAAACAATTAAAAAAAAGAAATCAGGGGAGTAGGCAAGGCTGGGCCAATGCAGGGATAGTAGAAAAGTGGGGGAATGATCAGGTTGGATACAGACAGACACCCAGAGGGCTCTGCTCACTCTGCGAAGCCAGCACAGTGCATCGTTTCTCATTCCAGTGTCAGCATCTGCCACGTTGCCTGAGAACATCTTTTCATGTCTTTCCATTTAACCTCTGGTTTCCAAGTTAAGAAATCAGACTCTGGAGTCTTAATAGATTCAAGTTCAATGCCTGCCTTTCTGTTCGTTAATGTGAGCTATTAAATGTTGCATCTGTTTTCTCATCTATAGCATGGGATAACAAAACTCATAGTCTTGTTAACTCAAGCATCTGGCATATAGTCAGCACTCAATAGATGTGAGTTGTTTTCATCATTATATTATTGTTGTTGCTGTTATTATTATTATTATTAGAGAATTGCATGTAGCCCAGGTTTACCTTGAACTTTCCATGTAGCCAAGAACAACCATGATCCTCCTGTCCCAGCCTCCCAAGTGCTGGGATTGCAGGTGTGTACCATGACACCCAGTTTATGCAGTACTGGGGATGGAACCCAGGCCTTGTGCACGCTAGGCAAGCACTCTTTTCACTGAGCGCCATCCCCAGCCTCTTGTTTTATTATTTTAATTCTACTTTTACCTTTAAGTCCATCAGCAACAATTCTACATTTTTGTCAGGATTCCGTGAAATGTCCAAGGGTGAACATTGAAGACCATTAAAGTTGAGTTTGGAAGAATGTCCTAGAATGGAAAGTGTGAATTCAATTTTAAATATATTTCTGAGCATGACTTGGTAAGAGGTCATTCTACAACCGAGGCAGTCAAGCGGGGAGAGGGTGATTTATCTAAACAGTAGAGCTGGTGCACTAGGCTGGAGTCGTGGTCCCAGAGAATGGTGCCTTCTGAGGCTTTTCAGGTGTAATATGTGGTGGCCCAAAATGGAGAAGAATCTAAGAAGTGTTTTCTGATAGCCACTACCTCCAAGCTGTCTCTACTGGCTGTCTCTACAGTTGCCCAGTCGCCGCTGTGTCAGCTGCCTGCACCTCCCTCAGCATAGCCCTTATGTTGCAATCTGCTTGCCTGTTTGTCTGAACACCTTTGAAGTTTGAGTTCTATGAGGACAAGATTTTCAGGAGGCCTCATCTCGTATTGATTAATGTATTCCTTTTACAGAAGAGCACTCTGTAAATCTTCTGTGTTGACATGGATGGGTAGATGAATGGATGGGTAGATGAGCTGAGAATTAGAAAGTCTGTTAAGTAAAGCATTTAAGTATAAATTTAAATTCATATAGCAGCTTTCCTGTGAAGAGATGTCATGTAAGAAACCAGCACAGGCTCTTGAGCTGAGGAGAAAGTGACATTTTTTATGTAGTCACATGTTTTGTTTTGTTTTTTAATGCTTAAGACTCTATTGCTGGAATCCTGGTATCATGGTAGAACTGTGGGCATGGTGGGAAAACGCAGATCCAAAAATATAGTCTAGTAAATCTAGTATAAAAATACAGATTAGTACTCTAATACAAATACTGGCTTATCCCCTAAGGGTATGCACTGTAGGAATTCAGAGCAGTTAACTTTCTTAACAGGCTTTTTACCATTTTAATAGGTCTTGTTTGGCTATTACCTTGGAGAGAAACAAAACTCAAGGACAAGGACGGCACAGAGAATGGCAGGAGCATGAGTCAGAAGCATGCTTCAGTATTGGGAAAGTCAGACTGTGCACCACACGAAGCAACCACCCCCCCTGCTGTGGGGAAGCCAGAGAGAGCTCCTCAGAAGCCTTGGGTGGAAGTCGTGTCGGCCTTGGGGGACATGAAGAGCCTGATATTTTCAGCAATGTGGGACATATTTCTCGTGCGCTTGCTGATGGCGGTGGCCGTGATGCTGTACTACAGTAACTTCGTCTTGGCTCTGGAGGAGCGCTTTGGGGTGCGGCCCAAGACAACAGGATACCTCATTAGCTACAGCAGCGCCCTGGGTGCCCTGGCTGGCTTCGCAGTGGGGCCCATCCTCCGGCTGTACAAGCACAGCTCTCACATGGTCCTGCTGCACTCCAGCGTGCTCACCTGCATGCTGCTCCTGCTCTACTCCACGGCAGGCACCATGACCATGGTGGTCTTCTCCTCCACGCTTCTGTCCTTCTCCACCAACATCGGCAGAACCTGTATCACGGACCTCCAGCTGAGCGTGGGCGGGGCCCAGGCCAGCGGGACTGTCATTGGTATGGGGCAGTCTGTGACTGCAATGGGCCGCATCATCGCCCCTCTCCTCTCTGGAGTGGCCCAGGAGGTCAGCCCTTGTGGTCCCCCAAGCCTGGGCACTGTGTTAGCCCTGGTGGCAATTTTCATCATGTCGCTGAACAAACCACACTCTGCTGGGGATGGGAGTGAGAAACGGAAAAGTGAGTAGCATGGTCTGGAACCCTGTCGAGAAGCAGGTGGGCAAATCAAATCTGAACAAAGGCCACGGTCAGAAGAGCATTTCAGAAAGGGTGCCCGTCTAAGTGAAATTATCTCCAACTGGTTGTGCCCAGTCCTCAGCTGCACAGCAGTGCCAGCAAGATGATCAGAAGTCAGCTGCACGTAGAAAAGTTAAGATTGGAAGAGAGCTCTCTGCCAGATGGCCCTGTCCAAAGCTTGCCTCAGCGTTTTCTCTTCCCACCAGGACCAATAAAGTTAACATTTCCCAAGGGGACAAAAGCTGCAGGCTACAAGACATGGAAATGGGGGTGGGATAACCAAGCATGGTATGTAGAAGGGAAGAAACCACAAGAAATACCCTGTTGAAAAATAGGGTGTTGCAGCAATCACATGCTGATCCTCTATCTAGAACAGTTTACCAGGGATTTTAAGCACCAGTAGCCATTTCTCTTGGATGTGTGAGGCTCACTGCCAGATATACTAGTTTTGGTTAAAGTAAAAACCATAGACTTTTTATAATATTAGCTAATTCAGTATGACTGTCAGATTTCTGCATGTAACTCTGAAGTACCAACCCCCCTTTCCCCACCACTCAGAAATCACTCTCTACTAGAGTGAAGAGCCGGCTTTCAGGGCTGCCCTCTGTCCTCTTTGGGGCTGCATTCTTCTGGACTTGGGTAGGAAGATCTATGACCTCAGAAGCTGACTTTTCCTGAGTTGCATCATTCTGGCACTAACATGCTGAAGGTGAAGTTAAAGCACAGGAATGCTTTCAAGATGAACATACAGAGAAAGGGTCCCAGCATGCCCTAGCAGGGAGGGGCTTGCCCTAGTAGGATTTATGAAAAACTGTTTGCTTTATTTCATTTTGTTTTGGCGACTGGGAAGAGCCAAGTCAGCCAATTGGAATGTTTTGGTGCACCCTTTCCTAAACTTTAAACCTTCATTCCATCAGCACCCGAGGGACAAGTACAGGCCCACAGCAGGGATGCACATTCCCACAGGGAGGCAAGGGCCAGGCCTGCTGATGGACCCTTGGGCTTATAGTGCTTGCTTGTAAGCATTCCTTGGGAATCCCTCTACTCAGAAACTGCCAAAATTCACATTCCTTTTAATCCTCTTCATCAGTCTGCTAGAATATTATGCCCATTTTCAACCCAACATACATATAATTGCAAATGATACTTTAATGCACTGATTTGTCATAATGCTAATGCTTATTATTTGTAAATCAGAAAAGGTATTTCAGTAGTTTTAGAAATTGTATATGGGGTAAACAAGTATTTATGACTAAAGTACAAAGTACACTTTAGCGTGAATGTCATCTATTTCCTCTCTGGCTGTGAGAAAAATAATTAACTTTTTATTACTTTTACCCAAGGGATAAGAGCTACTAAGGGACCAGAACAAGGTAATGGCCTTGCCCATAAGCAACACTAAATGTCATGGAGAGCAGGGTCACGGGGACAATAAATAATGAAAAGTTTATGCAATGAAGTAAAATTTCAAAAGTGTTTCTCCAAAGATTTTTGTTCTCTACTCTCAAAGTAATTGGATTTTCTTACAAATTCTTACAAATAGCCATGTTTGTATTTTTAAGATCATAGCATTTTATCTTCAAAATTGATCCTATTAATTTAATGAGGCTTTAAAATGAATAAGACACATGGAAATACTGAAAACCGAAACTGGTCAGCACCCAGAGACACGCTTGTTCTCCTGTGTGAGTGCTCTAGCCGTTTGCTCGGGTGATGATTGTTTTTGTTTTGTGTTTTGGTAAATATTTTCTCAGACTTCATCTTACATCTAATGTCTTTTTAAAAGTGTAGTTCAGGGACCATCGTGGCCTGGAATTTTCTGAAATATACAGACACTTCAGCCCCAGTATCTACCTGCTAGGAACCACTTTAACAAGCTGTCTAGCTGATTTGTTTACACAGCAAACTCTGAGAACCACTGGTCTAATGAATAGTATTTATATTGTTTATGGAATGTAATCTCAGGGAAATTAAATCTGTTCCATTAGCACTTGTGTTGTGTGTTCTTTAAATTCTATTTTGCAACTTCCATAATCCTTTCCAAAGTATCAGGTTGGGTCACATGGATTTATTCCTTTGTAAGTGAAAAATATCTTCATATGGTTTAACTTTGCATTGTATGACAATTTACCTTAGAGAGAGGGAATGTCTAGGAAGGAAGCACCCACCTTTCCAACATGCCAGACAAAAGGTAAGTGCTGTAGAGCAGGGCTATCATGGAACTCAAGCTTCCAGAAAGCATGGTTTTCCCACAGAGTAGATGGTACACCTTTGTGCTCATATCCAGAGGGGTGAATGAAAAACAAGGAACAGTGTGTGTTGGCTGTGGGGAGATGCTACAGGGCTCCAGATCTGGGCTGAGTGGCCTGGGCAGTGAAGTGTGTATGATCCCACCTATAGTCCTGCCTGGCTGCATGTCTAAGCTACAAGGTTCAGGCACACAACCCAGGTATTTGCACACTCAGAGTTGAGATCACTGGGTGGTTTCAGGAGGGAGCTCACCTGTCATGCTCAGAGAGTTAGACTTTACAGCCAAAGGGGCATCACTGGCAAGTGCTCTTGGCACTTATATTTTTAGGAAGACCCTCTAGCTGTAGTGGTGACTACTTAGATTTGGAGAAAAAAGATGTATGGACTTTGGCACAATAATCCACATGAGCCAGGAGGAACAGGTGGTTGCAGGGATGTGGGGCAACCAGGAAGAAAAGCAGAGGGGTCACTCAACAATTCCAGGAGGGCCTGTAGTATCATCCTAATGTTTGGTCTAGACAGAGGTCAAGAAGGCTGATGGTGAGCGCCTATCCCATTCTTCCCTCATCTGTATTAATCTGCAGAGAACATTTAGGGAGATAATGGGAACTCCATCCAGAACAGAGGGTGTTTTTGGAAAGCGCTTGGCTTCTTTCCCTAGAGGTATCTCTGAAATCTATAGAAGCCTATTGGCAGTTAAGTATCAGCTCAGACTGGGTAAACTGCAAGCATCTGGACAGCTGCCTTCAGAGAACAGCTGTGTATTTGGAATGTGCAGTAAGAATTGTCAGTGACCCTTCCTAACCCTTTCCCTAAGAGCTAGCCACCATAGTCTTTATGAAGTCGACAAAATATGTGAGCTAGATCTACCCAGGTGATGATAAAGGTGATGGAAAAAACTTTTATTCACTCAGCCTATCCAATTTTTCACCCCTGAAGAACTTGCCTATTTACATGTTTTGTTTTGTTTTGTTTTGTTTTGAGATAGGATCTCCCTGTAGCCACAGCTGGCCTGAAACTTCAAACCAGGCTGGTCTTGATCTCATAGAGCTCTCTGCCTGCCTCTGCCTCCAGAGTGTTGGATCAAAGGTGTGCACTGCCATGCCTGGCTACATGTTGTTTTTTTTAATAAACCTTTTTAAAAGTATAACTAAATATAGTTTATTCTAATAAATTGTGCTTTTGGAAGTCATTATATCCTGATACATAATTCAGGGTCCTGAAGTGTTTGAAGAATTTAATCTCAATTACACCATGAACTACAGATTAATAGTGAAAATAAATCTAGCTTTTAAACCCATTATATGAATATCATATACACAACTTGAAATTCATACTGCTATCCAGTAGAGTAGTTTATAGGTAAAATTTCATCTTAGTAAAATTCATTTCTAACTATATAAATGCACAAATGCCTTTTTTCCTGAGACAGGGTCTTTCCTATAGCTCCAGCTGGCCCATACTCCTGATGTAGACCATACTGGCCTCAATCTCACAGAGATCTGCCTGCCTCTGCCTCCTGAGTGCTGGGATTAAAGGCACGCACCACCACACCTAGTTACAAATGCATTTTGAAATACTTTCTACTTTAGATTTCTCCTTTTTCCCAGACTGTCTAAACTTAACATTGTATAGTTAGCACTCCATGAAAACAATTATCAAAACAAAACCTCTGTTTTCTGGTTTGATATATGGTAAGAAGTGATACTCATTATCTTTTTTAATAGATTCATTTTTATTTATGTGTATATATGTGTGTGTCTGCTTGTGGGTATGTACACGAGTGCAGGAACAACTGAGGCCAGAAGATCCCCTGGAGATGGTGTTACAGGTGGTTGTGAGCTGCCTGATATGGATGCAGGGAACTGAATTTGGGTTCTGAAGAGCAGTATTCTTAACTGCTGAGCCATCTCTCTAGCACCAGAAATGATACCAATTCTTATTTTGAGAAGAGATACTTTAAAACAGTCTGTGCTGTTCCTTGAAGGGAGAGGATACAGACATTAAGGAAATTATGTTCATTAATTCATTAGCTTACACAGCATAAAAGTGAACTGTAACGATCTGGTTGAAGGAATAAGTGTATCTCGGCAGCTGATTTGACTATACTATGTCTTGGTAAATAAAAATCCTTTCTCAATACACATTAAAACACCAGTGAAAGGCTGCAGTTCAGAAAATGGGCAGGAGCTAGCCTTCAGGATTGTCAAAGACTCACTAGTGAGTGTGCCCCCCACAGGCACACTAAACTTATATTTTCATTCTAAGACCTGACCGAGGATGCCTGAAACCCCAGATCACATTCCAATTTTTCTAAAGATACATCAAGTTAATTTTGTTCCATCTTAATTGAGGACTTTCCATGCATGTGGCCATAACTCCTCCAGTTTGAGGGGCAACAGCAAATCTAGCATGAATTTTTCCTTCATCACAATTTCAGGGACAAATTTGTTACCATAGGTCATAGCAACCTCAGCATATGACTTTTGTACTCTGAAGATGAGAACACTCCCTGTCCACTTAAAGGAAGCACTTAACAGCTTCCCTTTGGTAGATTTGAATCACAGAATGGCTGCAACAGGGACTAGCAGGAGACAAGCACTGCAAAACCAAGGCAGTCCAGGTAATAATCGAGATGCTGCTAAGTCCCTCCCATATGGGCAACATACAGAGATACCATGGAGACATGGGACGGAGAGAGGTGTAAGCACTCATCACTCAGAATGGTGTGCATTTACAACTTATTTCTAGAATTTTCCATTTAATGTGTTTAGATCTTGGTGGCCAGGAATAACTGAAACTACAGTGAGACTTGCAGATGAGGAAGGTACTGCTATACTCCATTTTGAAGAGTTGGAATGAATCCATTTATTATTTGCTGTGACAGTTTACCTAACTAAATCTGTCTCAAGTTTGCACATTCAAATCAAAACTTCATGAAATACCCAGAATAAACCTAATGTAGCCTATGTTCTATTGCTGACTCTGGGGTCCTCTCGGACCTGTATGTCTAAAGCCAGTCTGCTGTGTGTGCCTAAAGCACTGGCCTCAGCTTCAGAGTCCAACTCAGGCATTTCCAGTCAGACACCACTGACAAGGGTGTGTTCTTGGGTGACCACTCAAGCCACTGGGCCACCTCTTCAGAATGAGTAACACACAGTGTGCACAGTGGTAACTGCCATTCAAAATAACTTTCTAGCTAAGCATAAGGACTTACAGATGTCCAACAGTCGAAGTGGTAATGATGGTAGCTCACATAGTGCATATTGCTTTATCTGTCACACGCCCCAAACTATATACTAATGAAAACTTAAAATTGGCTGGCTTTGAGGTCTGGAGAGATGGCTCAGTGGTTAAGAACACTGTTCTTGCAGAAGACCTGGGTTCAAATCCCAGCACCCACTAGGTAGCGAACAGCAGTCTGTAACTCCAGTTCCAAGGGATCCAACAGTCTCTTCTGTCCTGTGCGGGCATTGCACAACATGGGTGTACTTACCTACATGCAGGCATAACACTCATACACATAAAATAAAAATAATAAATAAAATGTTAAAAAATTGGGTGGCTTCATGCATAACTACTCATAATCTCTGGACATCATTTGGTGAGACAATGGTTGTCATTGTCTGCTTTGGGACTGGTTCAGAAGGCACTATTTAATCTTCCAAAGCATTATCTTTGAACCCTTTAGAAGGATCTATTTACACATAAAATTAAGGAATCAAATATTATTCCTCTATTGGGGTATTTAAGGTATTTGAAATTAATAGAATTGAATTTTTTTAGTATTCTAAAATTCCTACCTCTCATGAACTTCAGCTATCATGACTCAGTACAGACAAAGATGGCATCAAACTACTCTCACAAGAAGTGGAGTTTCTGGAACTGTGACAGATCATTTGCTCCAGGAGTGGTTGATTAAATGTTTTCATTTTAATAGTTGAAGTTTGGCAAGACTTTTAAAATCGAAACAGGAAAAAAACCTTCCCATATCAATATACATATATAAAATACCAGTTTGGCAAGTAGAGTTAACCATATAGCTAGAGCCTGTTTCTTTACCAGCTGTGGTTGACTCAACAGGAGTCAATGAGATAAGAAGGAGAGAAAGGTTGAATATTTGATTCAAAGTGTTTTGTCACACAAGTGGAAGTTCAGTTCAGTTACCACTGCTGTGCCTGTCGTTCTGTCTCAGGGCATCTTGAGAACAGGCCCTGCCACATGTTGCAGTGGGAGACTGATGGAGTCCATGAAGCCTCAGGAATATCCAAAGGTCTTACAGGTTCTTAACCCATGAAGAGGACCCACATAGGCTAAGTAGCTTGAAAATGAGATAATCCATTCAACAAGATACGTTAACAGCACCACATCCAGAAATACCCATTCCCTGACCACAGAGGTAGAACTAGACAAAAACTTACTGTTCCTAGAATTAGTAAAAGAAAATTTTATTTGACAAGTTGCAGGAAGTAGAGAAAACACAAACCAAATGCATCTTGGAGAATGCAAAACAGAAACAAGCGCATTCAAGACAAGGGAGGGTGGAGGAGGGTAAAACCATAAGGAGAGCAATGGGGTGACTTCCAAGAGAAATGCCCTCCTGGAACAAAGCAAGCATGGGGATTTTCGTTGAGACCCTGAAGGTATTTATAGAGATAGGCACTTTACAAGAGGGAGACATTGCTTATCATGCCCAGTTTAAGGTCCTAGTTTAAGAAGGCCAATAGACACAT